CGTCTCCATCAGAAGTGATAATCTGTGGAATATTCTAGATAAAACTTTAAAAGGTTCTAAACCATTTGACACATTTTAAAAGATATATAAGACCAGAATTATAGAGCAATATAGAGAAATACAACAAATCATATTTTAGCCCATGGAACTTACAGAATAACTGTAACCCTCAATTATATTGATATATTTAAGTGTATTTATAAACCAATAGGTATAAATGGGTCCAGTCAAGCAGAAGTAAACAACAAGGCCAAAAATTCAAGTTAATGCATCTGATATAAAAATGTATTGAACAGATACATATGTACTCTAGTTTATGAAACTGTTGACCTTTTTTCTGTACCATTTTTGGTTCTAAAGTTCCATATGTTTTAAACAGACCATGTATGAAACATGGAACAAAAATTATTTCCCAAATTTCAAAGACCTGAAAATCATGTCAATAAATGGATGTATTTCATCATATCTTGTGTTATTCCATCTTTGAACTGCTGATGAAGGGACAGGATAAAAAAAAAAAAAAAAAGTATTTAAAATGATAAAAATTTGCTTGGAAGGACTGACATATTTTATAGAAATAGTTTCCTTTCATTTTGAAGTAATATTAAAATATTCAGAAGAAAAAAGTTGACAAATGATGTAAAATCCTGCACCTTCTACTTGTTTGCACAATTTTCCCTCCGTTACTTTTCCCTCCGTTACCATGACCTTTCTTCATAAAAAATCTCATGAGTCAAAAAGTAAGAGGTTTTTCAACCTAATCTTGTACCATATGGTAGAAAACTATATGAAGCAAATATTCAAACCAGTTTGTTAAGGATATGGAAGTGAGAACCAAGAGTTATCACTGTTTGGATTTATTGCCCCAAAAGTGCTGCATATTTCATTCCTCCGTTACCCGACATGAGTTTTTAATTTTTTTATCAACAACTTGAAAGAATCTCACAGGTTTAACTTGACCCTGTTGGAGTGTAACTCTTTCCTACATTCTGATACTTTACTTATTTCAATAGTCCCTCTAGTTTCTGAATAAGAGACATTTGAATGTCAAAAATCTGCCCCTGTTTCCCTCCGTTACCACTTGACCAGACCCAGATATTAACATGTACATGGTCAGTGTGTGTATGAACATCGACGTATATTGGATTGTGTTCTGTATTGTGTATGTGTATACTAAAAGATATAGGGACATTTCCTTTCCTGCACTCAAAAGATGAGTTTTGTGTTGTTTTCTGTAAATAGTTTTGCTGTCTTATCTCCTGTTCTGTATGTTAATAAGGTTTGGCAAAATAAGTGTTAAACTTCAGTCTAAACCCCTTCGGTCTGTAAAATAAGCTTAGAGATTTGCATTAACTGCATTTTGTGTGTGTGGGTGTTAAATCATTGTAATATGATATATGATTATGTTAATTGACCAAAATATAAACTAACTAATTAACTAATTAACTAGCAGTAGTTTTCAAGTTTATCACTTTTTTTTAACCTTTTCTTCAGTAGAAATGGGCAATTCCAGGTCTGAAATTATCAATATGGTTCTAGTGAAGGTGTATGGAGTTAAAAAACACAGTGGAGCACTTCCTGTATTACCAAATGGAACTGAAATCACAAGTCCGGGTATGTTTGTGATGAGGAAAGAACATTATAACAGAAAATAGTTTAATATTGACCTTTAATGTGCATTTAAATACATATAAAAATACAAAAACGCCACTGACCAATTCATATTCTAACAAGTAGTAGTAGTAGTAGAAGTCCTTCAGTCCTAATTATTACTGCACAATACCTCAAATAAAAGTACAAGTACCTATTAAAAGCTGTGTATACAACGTACTGATAGTAGTAACTGAAAGACGTCATGAGATGTGCTTATTTGGAGATTTGGGGAGACTGTTTATTTAAGATCGTCTCCGGTTTTGTACTCCTGTCCAACTTGTTAAACGAATACAACAAGTACTTGTAACTCGGCCCATTAATCCACCATGCACAATCAGCTTGAAAACACAAAAACTCATCGCAGGAATCTCCTTCGTGTGCCAACATCGCCCCACGTCCACATCGCCGCTTTCTTCTATCAAAACCACACACTTGCCGCACGGTTAAGTCATGTGTTTGTCTAATACATGGGAAGTCATTAAGCCAAATATCGCAAGAACACAGATGAAAAAAGGCCCAAACGAGTGCAGACACTTCCAGTAAGATGGGTTTTCAGGGGAGAGGAATGCGGATCGGTTGCCAGGTCCAGGAGATGTTTTACACATGATTGGGCCATGTAGAATAATAAAATGTGAGTGAAAGTCGCTGATTCATGCGTCAGAACTTGGTGAGGGGTTTTCTGAGTGGTTCAAGGTGGGAAGTGGAAATGAGAACTCAAATTTGTTGGTGAAGAAATAAAGACAGAATTAAGTTGGTGGCGTAGCGGTTAGGAGGCACGCACACACAGAGAGAAGTCTGTGTACGTGTCCTCTGGGTTCTGTGAATTTGCCCACCAGTAAAACCTGCACCTTCTCGTAAACGGGATCTCGAATCTCGCTGGATAAATAAAGGTTAAAGAGAAAAAACTTGAAACACATTTTGAGCTTCCAGTAGGTATGATTTCCTTTAAAGGCCCCGTATGTTCTGATCTTTGTTATAGTGTTGTTTCCTCGTCAAAAACATACTGAAGTTGTGCTTTGTTTGTCTCTCAAACACTCTGTTCCACCTTGTGATGTCATGTGATAATACAGGAAGTGTGTTTTTAAACTCCATACACATTCACTAACATAATTTGGATAATTTCAGCCCTGGAACTGCCAGTTTTTACCCAACAGAATGTAAAACTGTTCACATAAAAACTGCTGCTCAATGACATCACAAAGTGGAATAGAGCATTTTTAGCTTGGGGTTAATTTAAAAAAAAACTTTTAGTGGTTTGTATGAAAAATATACACCACCTAACTCCATGATGCGATTGCTTTGCTAGAAATGTTCCACAATATTGCATTAAACATCTCTTTACAGAGATAAGGTGACTCTATTAGTTAGTTACAAGTTACAATTTGGATCTGTAGAAAGGTAACTGAGTAAATGCAAAAACAAAACAAAACAAATAATAATAATGTTTAATGGCATACGCTGGAACATTCCAGACAAAGCAATAACATTTCCATTCTCTCCAGCGACAAGGTCAGGAATCAGAATCCACTAGACAATTTGCAAGAACCCAGAAAGTTGTAGGCCGCCCACCGGCCAATCAGCTGTGAGCTGTGAAGCCATGATGTCAAACTCAAGTGTCTGTCTGGGTCCCTTTTGTGGAACAGTAAACAAAGCGGTCGAGATGGATGTAGACGAAAGCCATATTCACACGGGATAAATACAACCTGGGCACGTGTGGTCATTTGTAAATTACCGCCCCACGTCTGTGTTACTTGCAGCGCATTTGCACGGGATAAACAAAGTCCGTAAATTACTCTGTTTTACTGATATTACGACCGGATATGTCATAACATCGTAACATCCGCTTCTATCTCTTTCGCGACTAGAAAGAGACTAGACTAGTACTAGACCAAGACTAAACCAGGTCTAAACCAGGACTGGTATAGAACAAAATCGAGACTTAACCAGGACTAAACCAGTGTCGATCTAGCGGCCGAGTTGCGTGGATCGCTCCCCTCCCCCTGGTTCTCAGTGTGGATCTAGCGGGTTCTAGATCGCCCCCGCCCCCTGATATGGAGGATAGAGTCTAACTAGTTATTCACTGGTTATATTATTTCAAATGTTCCTTACCGCTTGTTGCTCCACATGTCATCCAGACCATCATCCTGTAAGAATTTTCTCTCTTCTTGGACCTCTTCCTGTTTCTGCAGATCAGTTTACATGTACTGCGATATGGGGCTGTATTAGAATTTGCCCCTTTAAAAGCTCAAAACTGCTCATCAAAATTTCTACCGCAGCCTCCATATTCAAGCCGTAAAGAGATAGAAAAGGTGCAATTACCGCAACAAACACTGAGATGCAGATTCACACGGGACTAGTGTTATCACCTGTGTTTGGTGAAATATAGTCGGTCATTTTCGGCGTAATTTTTACTTTACAAATTACAGACATGGAGCATTCACACGGGATTAAGATCTCAGGAATCCTTCGCAATTATTACAGTTCACCAAAGGTCCACAGGTTATACTAATCCTGTGTGAATAGGGTTGAAGACAAACATTCTGTGTTGGCAACGATTCCTGAGATTGAGGATTTAAAGCCGGAACAAAGAGAATGTTTGGTGAAGTTTATCTTCCTACGGGATTTGGCGCATTACATACGCCACGACCAAACAGCAGCGATTGGTTAAATAAAAAAGTACCCGCCTACCATTGAGCGAACGAATCCTAGTGCTGTGAGGTCAGACGGTTTCCACAAAGTGAAACCAGCTGATTTAATGACAGTGCGTCTTATAATCCAGAGCATCTAATAGCCCGGAAAATACGGTAAATAAAAATGAATAAATTGACCCTAGTTGGCCATCCTTATTGTGGCATAAGCACAGCCATAAAAGTAATACACACAAGCACAGTTACATTACATCCCTATCTCTAATTTGTTCTTATTTTTTCTTTTAACCCGGCCATTTATATCATGAACACAGACTCCAGGTTAATACATTCACACTTTATGTTGAAATCACAAACATTCAAATATTGAATCATTCATTTGTTCAGTACAAGAACCAGTAACAGAACCACAATGATCATGTTGATTGTTCTATTTTCACTCTGCCTGTTATACATTTTTTTGGCCTCTTGATGGCGCAGTGGAGCACATGAAGCACCTTGAAGCATCAGCTCAAGAGTCGAGCAAATGGATGGAACGCTTCAGTGCTTCATGGGGCTTCATCTCGCCATCACTACCTAACCAGAGCCAAAATTGGACCTATTGTATGATCTGGACTAAAAATGTTCTAACCCAAATCTAAAGTAAAATCCATCTCAAACTATGAACTAACTCACTTCTTTTCCTCTTTGTCTCCACAGCCTTCAAAGCCAAAATCAAGGAGGTCAAGCGCGAGAACATGGACCGCAAAGTCATCCTCCAGAAGCGCAAGAAGGCTATCAAAATGGGCACGCTGAAGAAGAAGGACCTGAAGAAGCTGGTCCTGAACCTGAAGAACGGAGCCGACTGCCCCTGCCAGCAGCTGGACAACCTCAGCCCCCAGTACCTCATCATGGGACGCAAGGTGGACCAGCAGTTCCTCCTCACCGGCATCCACAAATGGGACAAGTCCAGCAAAGAGTTCAAGAAAACCATCAAGAAACTCAAGACCTACAAGTGCCCCGCATTCGAGAACGTCTTCTAATTACGATTACGAAAAAAAAAAAAAAAAAAAGAAAAGATGGACTTGCACAAATGTTAAAGCGGAACTCAGTATGTTTGGTAAATGAACTGATTCAGAGACTGTGATGGTCGGTTGGGTGAAATATGAGCGTTAGAGAACTTAAAGAGTTTTATTATGTTAAAGCTGCATTGTGTAACTTTTCTGGTGGTTGCTCTGTCCACCAGATGCTTTGCTCCTTGTAGATGTTTTTGCTTTGTCTGGAATGCTTCACAGTATGGCGTTAAACCTTTCTATCTTTGTGGAGACGTAACCAGACAAAGTTACAGATCAGATCTGTTTTTCTAGGTATTTTTGAGCAATAAAACCACCTGCAATTGAATAAATGTAAATTAGAGGTGTTTAATGTCATACAGTGGAAAATTCCAAACAGAGCAACGTACGGAAGCCGAAAGGGGTCACAACAAACGCAAACGCCGCAACAAATACAAACGTGACAACACAACAAAAAGCCACAACAAACCAAAAAAAGTCACAACGAAAATAACCGTGGGACTCTATTTTAATTCAAATGCCGCAACAAATACAAATGCCACAACACAAACGTAAACGCCGCAACACATTAAAAAGCCACAACACATCAAAAAGCCACAACGGAAGTGACCGCGGGACTCTATTTTCTGACGGACCGATCAAGCGGCAAATGAAGAAGAAGAACTACAACGTGAAATGAATAATGATAAAACAATAAATTGCTTTTACTTATGTTTCCAACTTCTCCGTTCCTTTACTTTTCATGTTGTAGTTCTTCTTCGGAAAATAGAGTCCTGCGGTCACTTCCGTTGTGGCTTTTTGATGTGTTGCGGCATTTGCGTTTGTGTTGCGACGTTTGTATTTGTTGCGGCGTTTGCATTAAAATAGAGTCCCACGCTCATTTCCGTTGTGGCTTTTTGTGGTGTGTTGTGGCTTTTTGTTGTGTTGTCACATTTATATTTGTCGCGGCGTTTGCGTTTGTTGTGACCCCTCTCGGCTTCCGTAGAAATGACATATCCGCAGGAACAAGCAAAATGACGGACCCCCAACCGAAAAGTTACATAGTTCACCTTTACGTCTTCATCATCAAGTTTAGTTAATCTACTCCAGATTTCAAATGAGTCCATGAATCTCCTTTGTGTTTTTAAAGACCATACGTTCACCAGACTTCATCTTTTTGCGCAGACTGCCGTACTTACCATTGTTTTTTAGTTTCATTCAAGTATTTCAATGAAGCTTAGCAGTCCTGTCTACTTCGCAGTTGGCTCTGGATCTGGAAGAAAATTTTCCATTCATTTTCACCATGGGCTTTCCGAATTAAAGAGATTAAATGCGCGATGGAGGCTAACCAGCTGTGTGGTAACTAATCTCCGTAGCATGGTTATTTTCAGTCCAAAAAGCACACTTAAAACTTAAAATTCAACTAAACATTTTAAGATCTTTTTATAGTTGTGGTCAGCAGTTACTACACGGCGGATTGGCCCTGGACGAGCTTTCAGACTTTTAGTATTAATTTTCTTTGGAAAGTCTACTGGGAAAATTACTGTAGGAACCAATTGGATGCAGATGTGATCCTGTAGCGCCCCCTTATGTTTTGGATGGCCACTCCAAGACACGTACACTGTATTAAGTGATATTATAGCCAATACCAATGATCGTTAAAAAGCCCAAGTATCTTTGAGTCTGAAATTTTCTGAAAGCAAGTTATCGTTAAGGTACACTGTGTAACTTTTTGGTTTGTGATCCGTCACCTGTTTGTTTCTACGGATACATCATTGCTCAACCTGGAATGTTCCATAGTGTGACATTAAACAGCTCTACTTTACATTTTTTGAAGTACAGGTGGTTTTATATCTTAACTAGAAAAGCACTCAGAGAGCGCAGACCTCCGCCAAGGACTACAGTCCCCCTCATATTAATTGTGTTTTCCATAAATATTTGTCTCGTATCTTTCAATTTGGAATATGAAAGAGGATCCGATTGTCCATCCCTGAGTCAAATTTCATGGGTTTTGGTCAATAATTAACCCAGATATTGAGAAACAAAATTTTTGGCCCCATTGACCACAATGTTAACTAAAATTTCAAAGTGATCCAGAATCCAGAATTTCTTCCGGATCACCCCCAAAATGAAATCAGTTCTTCCTTTTCACATTTCCAACAAATCCTGAAAATTTCATCAAAATTGGTCCATAACTTTTTGAGTTATGTTGCTAACAGACAAACAAACAAACAAACAAACAGACAAACGCCGGCAAAAACATAACCTCCTTGGCGGAGGTAAAAATACTGAAAAAAAAAAACGTTCTAACTGTGAGCGGCATCGCCTCTCCACAGATCTGACCTGTAACTTGGTCCGGTTTGGTCTCCATGAAGATAGACACGTTTAAAGCCATACTGTGAAACATTCCAGACGAAGCGGTCACATCTCGACGTTGAAAAGCAGTTGACGGACCTTCCACCCGAAAAGTTACACAATACACCTTTAGACAACAAGCTTCCCGTGGTTGTATTTCTTGATTTTCACTGTAACGTGAAGAAATGAGACGCGTAACTGAGTTCTGCTTTAAAGGAAAATCCTTTGCTTTATATTTTGTCTGTTTATATATCTATATATCTTTGTACATTTACAGATTCCCTTTTGGACATGTTAGTGTTTTGAATGTGCTGAGTGGTTGGGTTACTTTTCTATTCGCTTTGTTTTTATATGGACTCAAGAAGATAACCCCTCTCACTGAAATGATTGCCAATATATTTGTAGGCGTATTCTTGTAATTTTCCGCTCAGATTGTGTTGTTTTGTTAGTATAAAGAAGCTAAGTCAAGCATCTTCTAAGAGATTGCATAAGTTGTCAAAATGGGATAATGAATGAATGATGATAATGAATGGAAGTCAGTTTTAAAGGGACATTGTGTAACTTTTCTGATGGAGGGTCTGTCAAATGCTTTTCTTCATGGAGATGTTATTGCTTGGTCTGGAATGTTCCACAGTATGGCATTAAACCTTTTTTTATCTTCACAAAGACCAAAACAGATTAAGTTACACGCCAGATCAGGTGGAGAGGCTGTTTTTTGAGCAATTTCTGAGCTATAAAACCACCTGTAATTGAATAAATGTAAGGTAGAGCTGTTTCATGTCATACTGTGGAACATGACACAGCCATAGAAACAAGAAAATGACAGACCTTCAACCAAAAAGTTACTTAGTGCACCGTTAAAATCTTGATGACGTGTGGTTTTGTGGCTCGCAAATTCTATAAAATTTAAATCCATCAAACAACGGCATTGCTGATAAGCTAATTGAGCTAATCTCTTCTAATGGAATTGTCAGTTTGGAGAAAAATGAGATAATTGGAGCAAAAAGAAAGAAGAGAAAATAACATGGCAAGAATAGTATTAAAAATAAAAAGGTAGTTACTGATTTCTATTGATTTCCATTCAAAATCATAGACACATCTCGTGTTTTAGATGGAGGCTTAGGGTGGATTCACAAAGGTGCATTATGTAACTTTTCTGTTGGAGGGTCTGTCACCTGCTTGTTTCTATGGATATGTCATTGCTCTGTCTAGAATGTTCCGCAGTATGACATTAAACACCTCTACCTTACACTTATTCAATTACAGGTGGTTTTATAGCTCAAAAGTACCTATAAAACCAGACGTTCTGACTGTGAGCGGGGTCGCCTCTCCACAGATCTGGCCTGTACCTTGGTCTGGTTGTTCTCCATGAAGATAGAATGCCATACTGTGAAATATTCAAAATAATAAATAACAAATAATTTCCCTTGTGAATCAATTAAGTTTGTCTTAAATCTATTCCAGACAAAGCAATAACATCTCATCATCATGGAGAAAAGCTTTTGACGCACCTCCACCAGAAAAGTTACACAATGCACCTTTAAGGGCCTGTTGACACAAGAACGCTTGCAGGTAAAAACGACAAAATATTTTATCGGAAGTCCCTTTCGTTTAGACCAGGCATATCCAAACTATGGTCCGGGGGCCAAATGCGGCCCTCAGACATTTGTTTCTTGGCTGTCCTCAGGTCTTCTAGGTGAATTGCATCAATTAAAAATTACCTTGCATCAATTAAAAAATATTTTTTTACTGCAAGTTTTTTGAAAATCTACTTTGATAAAGCTAATACTGAATCTTTAGTGTGTGGTTTTGAGGATCTTAGCATGAATAAAGACTGATGGCTCATTCTAATGTGTTAAACATGCACATATTTCCATTATTCCCTGTACTGAGCATCAGTCTACAGCCCTCAGTCGGCCCTCTGCTTCATCTGTGTTTAGATATGTGGCCCTAGATGAAAAAAGTTTGGACATCCCTGGTTTAGACCAAACTCCAAAGTGGAAAAGTTAAATACGCTCCCCGTAGCATTTCCGTCTACATCGCCCAAGATGCAAAACTCTGGTCAGATCTGCTCACGTCGCGTATGCGTTTACGTCACATACATACAGTACACAGAAACAAACATATCGGATCATTTCCATGCATTCAATCTAATAAATTTACAGGAGGCATACCAGCAAATCCACAGAATCTGCAGAGACACTATTAGTGAACAGAAGAAGAATCTGCAATCACCTCTGTTAAATTCTGGATGCACCAGTTCATCGCAGATGAGCCAGACGACATGCAGACCCAATCGAATTCCACACACTTTTGCGTCACCGTATGCATGCTGATTTCCTTCCGAAAATGCTCGTCTAAAAGTGAATACGCGACGCCGCTTTTGCGTCTTCTGTTCACACCGTCATCATATAAACGTAGCCCAAGTCCTGATGTAGACATGGTTCAAATCTACTCCTCGTTTAGTCGTTTTCTTGGCCAAATCCCAATTTGAATGTGATGTTGTCACAAGTATGAACGTACCAAGCATCTGAAACACCAAATAAACCAATATATTTTCTTTAGTTTTACATAGGACCTGAATAATAATTTGAAATACTAAGATTTAAAGATGCTACAATGAGCCTTTGAACGTAGCGCACTCTTACTTCTTGTACAATTTCTAAGGTAGACAGTCAGCCACAACATCACAGGTCGAGCAGTTTTGGTGAATAAGTTATTATGAGCAGATTTCAAATGCAGTACGGTCATTTCCACATTCAGTTGTTACTTGAAAGAGTATTGTAACCAGCCAGTTGTTTTTGTCTGTTGATTTAAATGGAGAAATGTAGTTACGGTAAAAGCAAAAGGTAAAAAAAAAAACAACAAAAAAACTGAATTGTAAATGTAAATGTCAACACAATGTTTTATTTGTTTTTCCTGGTTCGTTTTAGCACTATTTTTGAATGATTTGAATGTCAGCGGGTCATTGCTGCCTATTACGTGTACATACAAATTTTACATAAATATAAGAAAAAATGAAACCGAATTGTGTGGTTGCTTTCTCTGATTATAATGATTCAATCTATTTTAATTACATTTTCAAACCATAGTTGTTAGGTGTGTGGGTACCAGCTGATGTGATTATTTATGTGATTATTTATTTCAGTCACAGGAATATTTTGACATTAATTCACAGACAGTCATATTTAACATACACAGACCGAAAAGGTGCAGGCTGAAGCTTAAACTTATTATGCCTACACTTTATTCTTTTGTCAGAGCGTCATCTTGACACCAGTTCATCTTCATAAACACAGCAAGAGGAAACAAACAAATCAGAAACAGAACAACAAAGTTCTACAGCACAAACTAAGTCTCAGAATTCATGTGTGTGTCAACAGTGTATTTATTGAGATTTTCATATTACAATATTAACAAACCATATAGAAACAAACACAAACAAACAAAACAAAAAACAATTTGTTTTTAATCACACACAGACAATTGTCACTCATAATAACAAAGTGATAACTTGTAAATATTCATGTCACATTCAGTATTGCACATGTCAAGGCAAAAATTACTTATTTTTCAAAAATTCTCCTAAGGGTTTCCAAGGCTGCGTTCAGACTGCAGCCTGAAGTGACCCAAATCAGATTTTTTGGCCCCTATGTTCCTGTATCTGATCTTTTAATGACAGTCTGAACCACACAGATCCAATTTTTTTCAAATGTGACCCAGGACACTTGGATATGTGCTCCTAAAACTGATACATATCTGATCTTTTGACATGTGACTTCAGTCTGAACGGCCAAAGTGCATTCATCCACCTACACGTTATCAACAAGCCACAAACGTCACTATTCTGCACTGAAGTAGGTGAAAATTGTTAATGAACTCCGTGTCACTGAAGTGAAGCACATCACCACTCACCACTCTTGGCTCCGTCTCCACATCCACATGTTCCTTTCAAAGAACGTTGCTGCCGCTGTCCCACAAAACACCACGACCAAAAACCTCGTCCTTCTCCTTCTCAATCTCCTCCTTAAAACAAGTAAGTTGTTCATGTTCTGGCTCCGGTACGAGAGGAACTTTAAAATCTCCAGGTGCTCGATGCTGCGTCCATGTTTGGACAACTTCCATAAACACAGAGACGCTCACTGCGGTTGACGTCGTCGTGTCTCCAGTGTCACATGCGGGACACTTTTGGGCCGTTTAATGTTCACACTGGAGACACATACAAGTCACATTTAATTGAAAATGTGAACAACCTCGCAAAAACATCAGATTTCACAAAAAATCGGAATTGAGCGTTAAGCCCTGCAGTCTGAATCGAAGCCCAAATGTCCTCGAAGTCCTCAGCTTTTCCTCTCAAAATAAATGTAAGCCTTTCAAGATGCCATTTCCATAGTCCAAACATTTATAGGAGGCGCATCCATATTTTTCCAAAATAAAGCAATAGCCCTCCTGACCTGCAGGACCAAAATCCACCAGTGTGGCTTGTTTTTTATTAAGAACAAAGTCATTGGGATATAACCCCAATATACAGAGTGTTGCCTGATGAGGAACTTCTACAGCAACTATACTGGATATGGTATGAATCACAGATTTCCAGTAGTTCTGAACTTTCCAGCAGTCCCATGAGCAGTGGAACAGAGTACTCTTATCACTTGCACATCTGTTACAAATATCTGGAATGCAGGGGGTTCATTTGACAATGTTGGGAATTTGACTTTTAAAATGTATTCCCCTACAGATTACAGATTACATACCCCAAAATGTAGTTTGTAACGTAATGTATTAAATTACTTAAAGTGAGTAATGTAATCTGAATACTTTGGATTACTTGATTTGCTGTAGAGAAGCAAAGATGAGGATACTTAACCGTATTAAAAATATTATTGATAGAAGAGGAGGAGACGTCCACGCAGCATGATTTAGTCCTGTTAAATCCTGTTTAAGTCCTGGTTTAGATCTAGTTTAGACCTGGTTTTAGTCCCGGTTTAGATCTAGTTTAGACCTCGTTTTAGTCCTAGTTTAGCCCTGGTTTAGATCTAGTTTAGACCTGGTTTTAGTCCTGATTTAGACCTGGTTTAGACCTAGTTTAGCCCTGGTTTAGATCTAGTTTAGACCTGGTTTTAGTTCTGATTTAGACCTGGTTTAGACCTAGTTTAGATCTAGTTTAGCTGGTTTTAGTAGACCTAGTTTAGTTTAGTCCTGGTTTAGACCTGGTTTAGTCCTGGTTTAGACCTGGTTTAGTCCTGGTTTAGATCTAGTTTAGACCTGGTTTTAGTCCTGGTTTAGATCTAGTTTAGTCCTGGTTTAGACCTGGTTTAGACCTAGTTTAGACCTGGTTTAGACCTAGTTTAGATCTAGTTTAGGTCTAGTTTAGACCTGGTTTAGTCCTGGTTTAGACCTGGTTTAGTCCTGGTTTAGACCTGGTTTAGATCTAGTTTAGACCTGGTTTAGTCCTGGTTTAGATCTAGTTTAGACCTGGTTTTAGTCCTGGTTTAGATCTAGTTTAGACCTGGTTTAGACCTGGTTTTAGTCCTGATTTAGTCCATTCTCTTGAGTGTCTATCATCCATGCTTCCAGCCTATCCCTGCTTGATTCTTTATCATGTGACATTAAAGTCCTATAAAACAGGAAGATCTGCTTCTTTCCATTTCAATTTGAGGAGACAAAATCCTTTACACTAGATAGAGGAGGTTCACAGAAAATATGTTTAAGCTTTGATCACATAAAGTGTATCAATTGTAGAAACTTAAAAAAATATTTCTTGGGGATAGAACATTTTTGACAATATCTGTCCAGAGTTAAACATTGAAACTTCTTTATAAAGTGAAAGAGACTGGTTTTCTGTGCAATTGTTCCAGAGCTCCAGCCCTTTAACAGATTTACAAAATTTCATAATGTTTGTTCTGATTTTCTTTTTGATAAACATGGCCGTACCTCTGAGCTCATATTGGCTCTTTCGGATTTGGAACATGTTCTGTAAAGATTTTGACAGGAGATTATTGTTTACTTTGAACATGATTTTCAGAGTATAAAGGTCGACGAAATCATACAGTTTCAGAGTTTGAAAGTAGCGCATTGGTTGATTCGTTATAAGTTGATAATGTGATTGCTCTTATAGCCTTTTTTTGCAGGGTAAAGACTGGATTTGTATTAGTCTTTTAGTATATCTGGGTTTCACGTGACGTCACAGGCTACGTTTGTCAGCACGCAAAATCAGATGGAGGGCAGGAAGTGAACTGACTGGAGGAAAATGCCGATGTGTTGTGTAGTTTACAGCTGTGCCATTCGTTCTAACCGAGAGAAGGAAAAGTGTTTTTTTTTAGAGTACTGAATATAGTCGTCCACAAAGATCAGAAATTGGAAAAGCCGACAGAACAACGCCGTAAAAAGTGGATTACAAACCTGTTTGCGATTGAGAGGAGCAGAATTCGCTAATCCTTGTGTCTGCAGTGACCACTTCGACAAAGGTTTGTTACAAAACGAAATAGTTTTTTGTTTTTTACTTAAACATAAACGAATCATTAACAACTAACGGACTAACGACGTTTGTTGACATTAAATAGTTCAGATAGAGGTCACTGCTGATACACTGCAGTTTTTCCCATAACAGTCTGTACACATAAAATAAGAGAAACACTCACCCCCGCGAAGACCAAACCATAATCATCATTTAGGCGTTTTGCACCAAGGTTGAGGACCCATCCACTGACAAAAAAAGTTCTATGCCTCCAAACTTTTGTACTTTGCCTTCATCTGTTGTCTGGTGTAGAACGATGTCTGAAGAGCTAAATAGTTCGTGATCTCCTCTGCCTCGATTGTTGACAAATCTTTTACTTCGGTTGAAAATTCTCTCATTTTCAATAGGATCAGGGTCACACCCAATATATTTGTGGACTAACTGCTGGTACTTTTGTCTCGCTACTGGCTCTGAATCCTTATAATAAGAACTCTTCTCCATATCTGTGTTCTCCAGAGTCGTGTTTGTCGTGTTTGTTTTCACTTCCTGCCCTCCACCTGAAATTCGCGCATCATCGTGATCACGTGACTGAAACCCTCCTATTGCCCCAAATCTCAATACCGTAGGTTATGTCGGGCATTACCAGCGAGTTGTATATAATAAAAAGACTGTTTTTTATCTAGAATATATCTATATTTGTATATAATTGCGATCACTTCGGATAATTTATTTCAAATTTTATTTATGTGTGATTTCCAGTT